TCAGCTAAAACTTTACCTTTGTTATTTACGTCCACTTAGAGCTGATTTTTCCAAAGGGGACGGTTTGGTAGATAACTAGATGGTTAGATAATTTACTGCTGTGAAACGATATGATGCCAATGCAAAAGCGGTTCATTCGCTCTTTCTCTTCAAAAACAGTCAAACGTCAGAGACACTTGCGATAACGTTTTGTAGGATAGTACTTCGCTTCATAACATCCCTGATACATCGGAGACCACCAAACGGATGTTTTCGAATAGTTCCACAAATCTGCAGAAGACTTCACAATTTAGGCTCTTTGGCCCTCAGTTTTACACCCTCCAATGAACTTCTTTCATGACAACCTTGTATTTGTGACTGTGAAAAAAAATGCTTTGGGATGGGGGACATGCAGCCTTCTGCCTTCGCATTTGTTTGTTCACTTTGTACTTGTAAATGGGAAAAGAAGCTGCCACTTTAGATCAATCCTAGGCCTTTGTAGCATGCATGCAATCAAAGATTGAAATTTGAATTTGAAAAAGAAGGGACTGATCGACTTTTCTGCAAGTTATTTCTGAGACTGTTGTGGGACAATGAAAGGTTACCAAACCTCTAGCCTCCTGTATCGAATACCAAGCCAGTCAATGAAGCTCTATCAATTTTCTTAAAGCTGAGCTAATCGTATGCGTAGGCTCATTTAAGATAATGAAAACACTGACTTATAAATCCTCTAATAGAGATACAAAAGGAAAATACGGTACGATGAAAATTCTTAAGCGATTCTCAATGAAAGTGAAATCTGCGGTGAATGGTCGAGTGCCAGGTGAGCAAAGAACTTTAGTTTTATACTCAGCTCGATTGAATGCTACATATAATCAGGAAGCTACTGCAAATCTTCAGCAAATCTCGATTAACTGGCACCAGGCCTAACTGGGAAGATAAAAGCACTACATTGTACAGCGACTGGGCCACCAAGGCCCTGCATAGGCCACACACGTATTCAAGACCCTCTACTATTTTGAGGGGAAGCGGAATGGAGGATCACCCCGGATAGATGACGCCAAAGACCTTGTTCTTCGAACTACGTAAGCATGAAAACTCACTCAAGGAATCGTTCAAGCATCGCACTCGAGCAGGTGCTCCAACTCCATGGATGAGTGTTGTATTCGAGAGTTGGAGCCATGATGTGAAAGTTATGTTTGACCAGTTGCATGTACTGAGCACATTTACGTTCATCATCATGTGGAATGTTAAAGCTGAAAAAAACTCTTTAGAACTGCAACTAGAGAGTATAGCCTGGCATGGAAACTCCACCCACATATGCCCGAGTTCATGTGCAATGGTAAATGCAGCACTCAATCCGTTATCTTCGATGATAGCACAGCTTTTACCAGCATCACACATCGTACCCAATTCGGCTAACCCCAATGTGTCGCATTTTCCGGGAGCTCTGGAACAAGCACGAAAGTACATAGCACTCCACGTGCACCACATGTGGTTTTGTTGAAGTTTTTCTGTACGGTTTTTTGACGTTCAAATCGCTGTCGTTTACTGCACATCATATGTACAGCAGATTTGTAGTTGGCTTGGTGTAATGTCGCCATGCATTGAAAATGGCGCCCATTGGACCGGATGGATCATCTACCGGCGCCATACAAATACGCTGCGCCGGAAATGGCTTTTGAACGTAGGCTGTGGTGGAAAAAATTCTATCTTGCATCCAACTAAGTGGATAAAAAATAGTCCCAATGGTTACTTAGGTGTGGGCCGTTCATTCAACAGTGGAAGTGAAAATGCTACCTGCCTCCCTACTCTGCCTCCCCCTTACAATGTGGGAGACCCATATTTCTAGAAAGTTCCCAAGAGACGTCGACCGTTTCTCAGTGGGGACCTCACTTTACTATTACAGATTCTGTCCTTCTTCTTCCCGAGGGAATGAAATAGCACTTCGGAAAGAGGCCAAGGGGGCGAGGACGGGAATAAGTGGGTAAGGGTAGTTAGGGATCTGCTCGACGTTTCATGACTATGACTTGCAACAATTTGCATTCATGCTTTGTTACAGCTGTGAACAGCTGTTTAGGATGGAACGAAAACAAGCAAGAAATAAAATAATGCGTGATTCGTAATGGGAAGGGCACATGTGGGAATATTTGCAGAGCTCTGCAGAGCAGAAGAACTCCAGACCGGAAATGCTAATCGCTTACCACATGTACACCTACCAATAGCTATATCCTTTTCCACCTGTTCGGGTATATGGGAACCTCCAACCATTTTACCTCACCATGGCCGAGTAGTGGGTAAAGAAAAAAATAAAAGGAAGGGAGGTTATGACCTTTGTAACTCATTCAACTAAACGGTTTACAGAAAAACTTCAAGTACTCCGATTTTCAGACAAGTAAACCGTACAGAAACCAGGAGTAAATAAGGTGGCCGATTTCTCAACAAGTATAAAAATGTGTAGAAATCCTGGGGCCATACCTGCAGATGTCGCCTCTGGTCAAAAGAATGGCTACGTCATGATGATTTGGGCTGTCGTCGTCGCGATCGTTGTAGAGCTGTTGCCAACGACAGAACTGTTGCAGTGTGTCTTGGGCATTTGATGTAACATGTGGACCAGCCTGAATAATTTCCAAGCAAATTATGACCACGGACGGTTTCAGTAACTTCGTGGGCTTTGAGAAATTAAACTGTCGCACAGGCTCACTGCACAAACGAATCTTTCACACAAGGAATGCGTTTCCAAAGTA